TACCCCGAGATGGGACCGTCTGGTTGCAGAAAATCAAGCTCGGTGCTGTGGTGAGTCGTCATTTTCATGCACTTTGAATTTGCGTTGTATCGTATTTTGAAGGCATTAAACATTGCCATAGCGTTGCGGCCAGATTAGACGCTCCTTGTGTTTATTATTATATTTCGAAAACACCACAGTTTTCATGCAGCTCATACCATATTATTTTGTTGTATTATTTCCGCCACACCTTAAATGCCGGTCCCTGAAAATATTGTCTGACATAAACCGGTCCGTGGGGCAAAAAAGGTTGGGGACCCCTGGTCTAGATAGCCACTGGCCTGTAGAGGCAAAAATCCACTACTCATAAATACGTAATACCATCATAATTTAGCAGATTTGCTATTTTGAAATATTGGAGTAGGCGTTCGTAGTATCCCTTGAGTTTTGCGAACAATCAAAGGTTTCATGCATTGTTGTTTCTGGCCACCAGGGTGCAGCATATCACCAAGTGAAATCAGTTACCGATTGCATTTTTAACAATTAATTTTTTTTTTTAATCACCAAGTGATTGACGCAAATTCATTAAACACACGAATACAATTTATAACATTGACTTCCTTTTTCATTACTTGAGTATTACAGGAGCAGTGACTTTTTTTTTTTTTTTTACATTAGACACAGAACATCTTTCATAAATGCTTCCGATGCTTCTTATTTCACGCGGATATGGTACCTACTTTAGAGACCAAATAATTCTCAAATCGATACACAGCATACTTGGAATAATTGCTAAATCGATGCATAACTTGATTTCTTGTATCTCCATGGCATTCAGTTCAACTTGTTTTCGGGCTCATAATTTATTTGATCCGGGCAATTATTATGGGGGGCTTGTGTGAGTATGGCAAGTAAACCGTATGTGAGGCAAAATAATGTGTAGGGTTGTGTTTGAGGATATGCGGTGTTGTGAAATGGTTCAGTCCGAGCCGCCGTGCATTTAGCCAACATAATCGTGCAGCCAGATGGGCGTTGATTGGTCGGTCGGACTGGACGTACGGGCCCGCTCTGGAGCTTCTGCCGTCACCCCGTCATCAGACGTGCTCCGGGGGGGAGGGACGCTTTGCTGACTCAACGGACTGATCCCACCACATTCTCCCCGGCTCTCTCCCCCCCGCCCCGTGCCGCCACTCGGTCACATCAGGTCTGTGCATTTGCATTCTTCTGCACCCTTTGTCCTTAATGGGTGTTAATGACGTTTTCTAATTGCGTGCATGTGATGTCGCCGAGACAGATGCACTCTGCAGATCTTGCCGCTGCTGCTCAGATGAGATAAGCGTCCTCTTCGTGCTGCAGGAGAAGAAGGACGCGAGAGCTGGCTTGGAAGAAAACGTCGGATTTAAAGGATTATTTATTTGGGCTATTTTTTTGCTGCTGCCCCCCCCCTCCCCCCCATTAAGACGGAAAAAAAAAAGATCGTGGATTCCAATCTCCGGAGGTGATGTGAGCCGGACTCAAAGCGAGACCAGGGTGGAATCCGCAGAGGAGCTGTCCGTCCGTCGTGGTGCTGATGCGGCTGTGAGGCGAGCATGGCTGCCGGGAAGTTGCTGCTCTACGCCGGGCTCGCTCTGTCTCTCTGCGCCCTGGGCATGCTGGCCGTGGCGATGTGCTCCGACCACTGGTACGAGACCGACGCCAGACGCTACAAGGAGCGCTGCCAGAGCTTCTCGAGCCGCCGCAAGGACCCGGGCTTCATCTACATCCCTAACAACAGCCTGCCGCTGCGGGCCGGCCGGAGCGCCGCGACCCGCTGGGAGGAGAAGCTGCTGTTGGCCCGCAACCGACGGCAGCTGTTCGCCATGAGCGCCGCGGACGAGTGCAACAGGCAGTACAACTCCACCAATATGGGGCTGTGGAGGAAATGCCACCGGCTGGGCTTCGATCAGGGAATCGAAGATCTCATCCGGAAAGGTAGGAAATCCAATCAAGAGCTTTCCAGTTGCAGAAATGCTTGCCGGCCCTGCGGCGATGTGATGACATTTATTTATAGTGGGGGGGCTAATCAATTAGCCTGCTCGTGGGACTGATTGTTTATTTCGCAGTTTCACGACAAGCATTGTGAGGTAGTGATCCATTATTATATAAAAAAAAAAAAAAACCTTCACTATGTTTATCGCCACTGCCCGTCAATAACGTTCGACTCAAGAACCACACAGCTTTGCATTTAAGTCAAGTTAGCTTTAGGCTAACATATAGTGCAAAACACCAACTACAGGCTAACAAAGAGCGTCTGTGCTACAGTGTTATAAGATTTCAAGCAAAAGGATATTTTGACACAAAAGCTGACCAAGACGCGCAGGCAGAACATGGAACAATAGTCACCGGCGTTTATTCCTTATCCTCCGCAAAGAACGAGTAACATTGGTGAAGTTGTGACCGTCACACTATTGAACTGAAGCAAAAAATGTGGAATTATTTTTTTTTACCGATTTGTTCTTACTGTCACTTTTTATAAAATAAAGCAATATTAGATTGAATTTTTTTATGAACCATTTCATGACCTGATAACATGATAAGCTGTCCACCGTAGTAACCGCTGTCCCACAAAAGGTTGAAAACATTTTTCTTGTTAAGTTTGCCTCGATGTTAACCAAAGACATACATGAAAGAATGGCTTGACATGAAAGAATCCAAGGGCGGAGCATTTTATGGTTTTGCTTGTCACTCTACGTCGTTGGCATAGATCCAGTTTGCTGAACAACTTGGTTGGGAGTCACGGGTTTAATCAACCAAAGGGCACACTTATTGTCTCACTATTATCCAGCCTGTTTGTTGGCATGCAATCCCCCTCCGCCGGCTGTCCTGCACGGCTCAAGTTGAAGTTTAAATGGTGCTCGCCCGACCTTTCAACTGCAAATAATGACATCATCACGTCAGGGCGCCTGCCAGCTCCTCCACTCAGCATCACTACACAAAAGCGTGCAAATGGCAGCGCTTTTCCTAATGGGCCTGAATTGCCATTTTCTGGCACACACAAGTCCACCATTAAGGCACACATGATTTGAATTCTACTTACCTCCCTCCCCTCAAGGAGACACGTGACACATTTTTCACGGTTTAGAGCAGCGGCATACCGCTGTCAAAATAAACCAATGGTTGGAGAACTATCGGCGATTTAACAGCAGCGGTTGACAAACTCATTAACTTGAATGTAAAGAACGAAAGCATTTTCTGCTACATTTTCTTTTTGTTGCCGTTCCAAGGACATTGTGCTGCCCCCTCCGGCGTGCATGCCTATGCCTCCTGGGGTCAGTTTAATGAAGACGCGCGCGAACAAAGTGTTTCACCTCTGACTTAAAAAGTTTTTGCAAAGGATAAAGAATATATGCCTGTCTATACACACCAATTGGTAGCCACTCTATGGAGTTTTGTTAGCATTCAGCTGTTTGAGCTCAAGCCGAGCCAAAACAAATGTCCAAATCTCCCCCCCCCGTGGTTGCTCACGCTACAGAGGCGGCCCTGTGTGTTGCGGAGAGGACAGGAAGCAGCGCGCTGGTTTTCCTGATAGATGCCGCTGGAAGAAATCCAAGTGTGAAAAAGAGCGAGGAGAGTCTGTATTGCCGCTGCAGCTGTGCCTTTATGCGAGCACGCTTGGCTGGCCTTCGCGGGCCCCGCCATCTGCAGTAATGGCCAGTCAGAGTGTAAACGCAGAGAGCACATGAATGCCTCCATACACCAGTTTGAAGCGGGCAGCGAACATCGGTTTTTGGAAGAAACAAAACAAAACAAAAAAATCTGGCGATGACGTGTGACACGGTCGGGTCAACGGGCCTGAGCGCCACTGCGGGTTAAAATGTGACATTCGGACCCGAGCGGGGTTTTTGTCGAATGTCCATCCACTAATGAGTCACGCCCTGTTTATTTCATATCGTCACATTTTTTAGATGATTAAAAACTCGGCGCGCCAATCAATTCCGACTCCCCTCATTTATTTATTTATTTTTTGTAGGGGGGGGGGGGCGTGTTGCCGAATGGCGCGCCCCACCCATTTGTCTCGACGCCTCAACCGCATCGACAACATGCATTTGTCTCGCCGCGTCTGCGCCGTCTTGGCCCGAACCTTCCGGATGTGTCGTTATGTAGATTTATGGAGGCGGCGGAGAGAGGCGGACGGTAATGGGTCAACACAAAAACACTAAAACCTAGCTTTTTTTTTTTCTCCAGGTCGCATTAAGAGCGTAATGGCGTGTGCCGGAATGGTTGTCTCGGGGTTAGTGGATATTTTCAAAGCGGATGACCGCCGCGGTCTTTCCCGTCAGCGACCCAAACGTGGGCTGATCCCAAACAATGATGAATTGAGGCCATTAAGGCAAAAGCGCCGCTTTTTGAAGACTGAGTGACAAGCTGCTCGCCGCGCACGCTAATTGTTGCTCGTCTCGATTCGATCGCGCACTTCTCCTGGGAAGCTGCCACCTCAAAACCCCCCCAAAAAAAGCAACCAAGACATGCATGCGTTTTATCCACAAGTGCCAATTGTGGCGTACTAGTGGGACAATTACATGTTACTAAATACCGTGCACGACTGAACATTGGGACATTAGAAGTAGTCCTAGTGCTAGTGAAGAGCTAAATGCGAGCTAGCTGAATTTTATCATGGCGCTATTATTTTTAAAATCTTTGATATCCAGTTTAACCCTTTTGGGGACAACGGTCACTACAGTGTTATCAGGGTGCATGAAAGGGTGAAGGGACGTTTCTTAGTAAAGAGCAAAAAAACAAAACAAAACAAAAACAACCCCTAAAATTGACAGTGCTAAGTGTCAACTGTACTAGCTAGCCTCGAGCTTCAAGATATCAGCAAAAACAACTCTGCACACTGTTTTGGGGCAAACAAGTTGTCCGCTTTGCTAGGCTAACTAACATTGTAAATGTAAATATTAACAAAATAATAATAATAACCATAATAAAATACACGTGTTATTTTTGACAGTGTACTCTCTTTGTCCTGACATGACAGTTGACAACTGTTTGCTACTAGCACGACGAGTGAAGTAATACTGTATTCGTCGACTAGCCGAACCGCTGGCATGCTATTAGCGCTACCAGTGAAGTGCTACATGTTAACTCGAGGAATTTTATCATGTCGCTAGTCGTCAAAACCCTTGACATCTGTTTTAAACTACATGTACTAGTACTCTTTTTGGACTCACATGTAAGGCAAGTTTGACATACTAGTTGAACAACCGCATGCTAGCACAGTGCGGCAAAGCTGTGCACTAGTTCGCGGCTAGGTGCTTCTAGTGCTACTCGAGTCAATATTAAATCCTCATGCTTAACACTTAGCGCTTTACTAGTAGTACTAGTAGTGGGCAATTGTGAACTAGTAACATGTCGTCGTACACACTCATTGGGTATAAAAGTAAATAAATAAAGGGGGCCTCTCAGGTCCTTGATCGCTGTACTTAGCTCCCCTCCCGAGTAAATTTCAAACATGGATGCAAATAACCGACGCGCGATTTGAATGCAGTAGGATGTAACGTCAAAACGGTTTGAGGATATTGACATGGGAGACGGTTTCCTTCTCACCGGGAGTTCTCTCGTCTTGCCGGAAGTGCTTAAATAATTTAGGGTGCAGGCGGTCACACCCCCGCGCTCATTAGCGGCCCGGGCCGCCTGCTGGTTGCTAACGAATGAAACGCAAAGAGTATTGCCGAGAGCACGCCGTACACGATGGCTGGAGTCCGTTTCATTTTGAAAAGCGGCATTCTTGAAAGGAGACTTTTCAAGGGGAAAGTGCATTTTGGGGCCAAAGAGCTATGGCGAAGTCAGTTGAGGAGTTTCACTTGGGCAAATAGGACTCCAGATGGAAACGCACGGACAGTTTCAACGACAGATCCTGAGGCCCGTAGCCTAGCGGCGAGCCCAACGCTTCTTTTCCATTCGTCGCACGCCGTAGCCCCACAGGAAGGACTATTTATCCGTCGTTAATAATGAATGATGTTCTCGCTCCTTGACAAAACAAAGTGCTTTTCAGATGAGACGCCGATTGACGCCGAGGATTCTTTGCGGTTTCTCCATTGCGGTCGTCGGGAAAAGTAAAGTGAAAACGGAGATTGTTTTTAATGACTTCTTGAAGTGCTTTTCCTTTTCCACGCACGCTACCGACGGAAGAGTGAAAATTTGGCGATGAACCGACACCGTCCCCCCCGACCCCCGAAAGGTGGTACTGCATTGCTACAGCCGGGGCGGCAAATCTACGCTGCGACGCAGCCCCGGTTCACTGTGTATTCATTTTCTTTCACGTTATTTATATTGCTATAATATGATTTTCCTCGCCTGACAGCATATTCAAGGCGCTGACAGGCGGCTGAGTGGTTCCCACGGCGACGTGATGTATGTTGTGGGTGGCTTGATATGCCACCTAGCCCGCAGCGCAAACCCATTGTCCCCCCCCCTCGTATATGATCTCACAACCGGCTCACTCCGCTCGGAAGCGTGCCGTCTCCCCGGCGACTCAAGTGTCATCGACTGGTGATTGGCTCCAGGACCCTCGTTTTCATTAAGACCCTCATCCAGCCATTAAGCGGGACTTAGCATGTGACTCGAGGGGCCTCTTACTCACTTGATTGACTTGCAATCGTGTCCCACCTCTTGCTCCTTTGTCGGCTGGGGTCGGCGTTACGGTGACCCTGTGGAGTAGAAATGAAGGTCGGATGGGGGTCGAGGGGCTCGCGAATCCCAAATAAGAACAAATTCCAGCTATGATATAATATGGCCAGTAAGGGTCAAAAAGACACCGTGGAAAAACATGTTTGGTTTTATAGCAGTGGACATTTGCATTCCCGTCTTCCTCTGGTCCGGTTTAATCAAAGGCCTAGCGAGTCAAGAGAGCTTAGGTGGGCCTCCTGGAAGAGCCCGCATCAATCAGATCCTTATTCTCTCTGTCCAGAGACTCCGGGAGGAAGGGGAGCAGATGAAGGGGGAGCTCTGTGGCTCCAGCTGCCTCTCCGTCACAAGAAAAGGCCTTTTTAATGGCTCGGGACTGCGGGACAATGCAGGATTTCTGTCAAGTGGGGGCGGGAAAAAAAACTAAAACAAAAAAACTCCCTGGAGCTTCTTTGGTGTGCAAAGCGGGCCGCCCAAATGCAACTAATCGTCAGCAGGAAGATAAAAACAGAGCTTGTGGCCCTGTTTCTGTTGCCATGGTAACCCCCCCTTGTGATCGGGTGACAGATCGATGATTTCGGGAAGGGGCTTCCATTTTAAAAGCCAGAATATTTTGGAACGCAATCTTCAAATGGCACCTTTGAGTTGGGGGAAAAAAAGTACTCGGCGGAGGGCGGCGTTTGTGTTTGTTTGTCCGAGCGGCCATATAAAAAAATTTTTTTTTTCCTTCTTGCGCGCGCTCTGACAAGAACGGGGCAGGAGAGCAACACCGAACGGCCTTGATTAGGAAGACGCACAAATGCAAAATGCTCCACGTTAACACGGAAGCCGCATTGTAGTCATGATGGGACAAGTTTTCATCCCAAAATACAGCTTTGGATGAACCAATAAAAATCTATAACGACTCATTATTAGCTAGTTCAGAAAACACTTGAGCAAGAGCAGCAACAAGGTCAATAATCCGACCAGAGACATGATCTTGGCAAACCTCAAATACTTGGCGAATTTGAAGAACAATTTGTCGGCAGGTGTGCACGCTGGAGGGAATGCACTCCACCGCCACCTGCTGGAGACACACAAGAACAGAAATAAACCCTGTAAAGTTTTAGCAGCTCATCACCATTTTTGTCGACATTTGATGAAAAAAACGAAAAAAACAAAAAGAGTATCATGATTGACACGTCGAGCCGATAAAGTCAACCGGCGAGGGCGCAAGCGAGACTGTGCGGGGAAACGCAAGCTCCAGCCGAGCAGAACAACGCATGCCGACTGAGCTAAGGAAGAGAACGAGAGCAACCAAATAACTGTCGTTTTCAATAGCGTGTATTACTCCCCAAATAGTTGTCTGAGGCCTGTCAGCAGCATGTATCAAGTTTCGGGAAGGCTAGCTTGCAGATAGCGCTGCGCCGCGCCGCGCCGCGCAGGCTGCCCGAACACGTCGCCTTGTCGCCGCTTATCTTCCCTCCCTCAATTATTTGATTCCGAAATTGCTTTTGCTCTTTTGTGACCATCTTTTTTTTTTTTTCCTCTTCCCCCTTGACGAAGACTTCTTTTGTTTCGCGGCGCAATTATACACGAACGGACACGGGCATGCTATATCTCTTAAAGCCGCCGCATTTTTTTTTTTTTCCCGCACAATGCGTGAATGGAAAATCCCCACGAACGGACACGGGCATGCTATATCTCTTAAAGCCGGGGCAAATTTTTTTTTTCCCGCACAATGCGTGAATGGAATACCCCCCCCCCCCACCAAAAACAGGCAGATTGATCTAAACCTGTCACGGAATTCAGTTTAACAGCACCGAGGACACATGAGGCCAAGAAAGGGTTTCACTACTTAGCAGTACGAGGACGATACGTATTAATCCACATTCGGTTTGGCACTTTTAGGACCGTAATCTGTTCATATGAGAACACCGGGTCGGCCAGGTTAAAAGGCAAACGTAGTGGGAATAACACATCGTCCGACCCCTGCGGGAAAATAAACACCGAGGCGACCAGCAAGAGCACGGCGACCTCTGCCAAGGCACGCTGGTCAAAGTGACTAACACTGAACGGTCGGCCGATAGATTTTGGTTTGCCAAGCAACGGAGTCTCTTAAGTGATATCATCTGTCTTTATATTCGTTTAATTCATGAAAATCAACCCCCCAAAATAGGCACAATGCATCACTTGACCAATGTCCATATGCTCGCCATCCGTATCATTCTTTTCTTTTTGTTTTTTTTCTCCCAGCTTGAGATAATGCAATTTCAAGGAGCAGTGAGCTTGAAATTTCACCGAAAATACGGTCATTACGTCGGCTCGTTGGGCTTCTCGTGTTGTAATTTTGACTCGTGGGGGGTGGGGGGGGGTGTTCACAGTTGGAGCTGTCTGCTTATATAAGGAGAACTAAACGCTGATGAATAAGAAGAGTCGAATCTCCTGTTTACTTTGTGGCAAGTTGTCCGTCACAATCTCGTGTCGTCGACCTTTTTAACGACAGACTCGCCGGAGCGTCCTTGCCGCCCTAACCTTGAGAAAAAGGCCGCTGACGGATGACTCGGCGTTAGGCCGTGAACTGCCGCCGCACTCTTGGATGCGTTCCTCTTGATCCCAAAAGATCGGCATCAGTTAGCATAACCCCCCCCGTGTGCGTCGGCGTGTGTTCCAGCTTCGTCTTGAGCCAAGTGGTGTCGGTGTCTCGGCGTCAGGTCGGCTGGAGGGTCTTGTTACAAACACCTCGGTGCCCCGTGGCCCTCGCGGCGGCTTCCTCCAGCTGCCGTGACAACTGAGTAGTAGACAGATGGGACTGCCATATGACCTCCTTCCTGCTTCACTGTATTGTGCAAACGCTCACGTCATATACTCAACCAAAGTCTGATTCGTCCGTTGCAAGTTTGGAGAGCCTGGTTTTCATTCCCCTTGCAAGCTTTTGAACATCCTGAATCTTCCGAGTTAGTTGCTCATTGAACGGGTTGGGGAATTCATTTCCGAAGCGCCTGCATCCCCTCATTAATTCAACGAACCTGCTCTGCCGGTCAGAGTGCCGTTTGGTCAGCTCGGGTCCTTCTTTTCCGCTCCGCTAATTGAATTCTGAAACAGGATCTGGTCTCTGACAAAAAAAAAAAATAATCAGGTGGCAGAGTTACCGCACCCAGATCCGACTTCATACGTCTTGCAAGTGCAGCAGTGGAAACAAATGCTCAAGATGACAATAATATTGTTTGGAATTTCTATGGTGTCTTAGCTTTTTTTTCAGAGGTGTATGCTTCAACATCACAGCCTTTATTTGGACATTCCATAAAGTTGAGTATATTCCGGCATCATTTCGCTAACTTCAACCATGCTACAGATAGACTGCACCCTCCGCTGCCAATTTAATCCCCTCCAGAAAGCTAACCTACCCCGCAGTTAATTCTTATGCAACACAAAAATGGACCACCAGAGATGGAGCGGGCACAGGCCGGTTTTAGAAATGGCAAGAGGGATCCTAAGTCAAACACCTTCATCACGGTTTCTAGACCTTCACTTGCTGGAAAATCAAAGAACAGGAGGATCGAGATTGATCCCTGATGCACACATAATAACATTTTCTCTTTTAATCAAACAGGGCCCAATGCCTGCTGGTGGCTGGCGAACCTGTCTGCCGCTGCATGCCCGGCTTCTACGGCAACAAATGTGATAAAATGGCCACCGTTCACTTCCTGGGGCGAGAGGCGTACGTGGAGCTCCCGGGCGCAAAGTTACGCCCCAATGTTCACATTTCATTCCAGGTATGCTTGTATGTTTTTTTTTTTTTTTTGTTTTGTTTTTTTTTTGTCGGCTGCTCGCTGCACACGACGGGCGCGGATGGGAATTTCAAACAGGAGGGAGTGCAGAAAACGAGAGCGCCGAGTGCACAAAAGAGCAGCTGCAGCTTTCTCTGACGTCACACTCCAGAGTGCAGCCAGGTGGCTCCGTTTTGGGCCTCGGTCTCACAAATGGGGATCAATAACTCAAGCCTCGTTTGGCATTGGGCCTCGGGCCGAATATGACGTTGGCCACTTCCTGTCTTGCGTCTTGACGCTGGCGGATGTTGGACAGCCATTCTTATGGAAACCCTCTTTACGATGAATCGACGAGTCAACAAATCAACTTTACAACTCTGCGACGATGTGGAGTGATCCCAATCACAAGGTGTTTTTGTCTTTTTTTTGTTTTGTTTTGTTTTTTTGCGTCAACCATGGGTGATAAATGAAAATGGCACACCCGATAAAGGTGCAAGAGACGATACATCTCACACACACATATACACACACGGGCCCTCCGTCTCCAGCTCTCTCTTTGCACACCCTTAGAGGATTTGTACAGATGGAGGCGCGGTAACTGGGTTATTGGCGGTGTTAATTAAATGCATGGTGTGTGTGTGCTTTGAGGCCAAAAAGGAGACAGATTAAACTGCCCCTGACCCACTCTGTCATCCACAGCCTCGTGCGGACGTCGCATGCCCAGCGAAGGTCCGTCGGGCGCCCAAAGGAACCCAAGGCGGTCTTGCATGTAGGCCGACACGTCGTAGGATGTTAGCTCATGCTGGTTTCTACTCGATCCCAAAAACAGGCTTTTCGGAAAACACACCTTGCATTAAAAAGATCAATTTTCTGTTAGCGAATGCTAATTTGTGCAAGGGACTTACCGTAGCATCTGTATTAAACAAAAATAATAATAATTATGCATCGTGAGTACATGACAGATTTTGTGGCTCCTTCTGGTGTCTTGACCACCAGGGGGCAGGAAGACACAGGAAGTCAGTGCCATCCATTTCCCCGCAAAGGATAAAGAATATACGCCTGGGAGGATTGGTATACTG